GGGATTACTCATGAGAAAAAAATTTTTCTTCAAATTTTTTTTCTTGCTTTTTTAAAATCCTTAATATCTCTAGAATAAAGAATTTAAATTTTATGACGAAATTTAGCTCCTATCAAAAGTTATAGTACATCACACTACCGTCAGAGTGGCTCCACGCGCATGGCCCAAAAACATACCAATCTTTAAATCATGATATTCCTGAAAAAAATAATGTAAGAAACTTGAGAAATCTACCGTTAGAAAGCTTATAATATTCAATGTTAAATAATACACAATTCGAAATTTTAAGAAATTACACAAAGATTTTAACAATCGATAAATTTGAAAAAGAAAATTAAAAATTAAAGTTTTTTTGACAATTTTTTAAACTCTGGCATATTTTTTAAAAATTGCAGACAAAATTTAAAACTTATATAGATGTGATCCTTTAAGTCTTATCTTTAATGTAAGACCAAAAACGTTAAATAATCTTATTCGGTTTGCGAAATATCAGTTCATGTTTTTTGACAAATACATTAAATTACTCAATTTTGTATGGTTTTTGATAATAAAAAGGCTCGCGACGAACATGAAAAGGCTTATTAGGAAGCTTATAACTTACTTTATTGACCTAGGATAGCAAATTAAAATTTGGTAAGCTCTTATAAAAACCAATTAACAATAAGTTTGAAAAAATCGTACTTAAATTTTAACTGCGTTTTTCTCAAAACGCTGTTTTTTAAATCGGTTGCAAGGATTCTGAGTAAACGGATGAATGTTTCTTTCTATTTTTTTTTGCATATTGTTAAAAAATATATTCTTTAGTGGGTATACCTAAAAAATTTGAAAAGAAAATTCTTTAATACTTTTTTTAATAAAAAATGTGGAGAAAAAAAAGTAATTTTTCAATTTTTTTGTTAAAAGTCGTGTCACTTTTTTAAATTTTGATTTTTTAAGGTAATTTTAGGTATAACCACTAGATTAGTATCTCAACTGTAAAAGTTCTTTTGGGTTTTCATTTTAGACCACTGGGAACGGCCCTAGACCTGCAACCGCGGAACGTCTCAAAATAAAAGCATCGATTTTGACGCTCTCTACAGCCTAACATAATATAAAAAATATAATTTTTTTATTGTTTTTAATACTTTAAATTATACTTTTTATTATGCAAAAAGGCTTTTTAACTTTTATAATAAAATAAGCGAGAAAAAAAATTTTAAATTTTGACATATTTTGCACACTTCTTATGAGGAATTTTCCTTAAAGCTTAAATCCTACACTACAAGACCCACGACAAAAATTACGAATCTAATGTGAGATTTTCAAAATTCAAAATGTACCCAATATGACGGACGACTTTTTTGAAAATCGATCCAATTGTCCTAAAACTTGTTAGTAGGGTATGGCATTAAAAGAATGGATGATTGTAAATAAACGGCCCTCTTCAGGGCCACCAATTTCTTTTTACGAAAGAATTTGATTAAAGTCGAAAATAATTTTTTCAAACTTATTCAAATATTATATTATTCTATAATAGTAAATAATAGTATTTTCCCAAAAATCCCAGTAATTGGAGCAATCGCAGTAATTGGCGCGTTTACCCTATATGTAGAGATTTCTAGCGCGTCAGGTTAAAGAGAAAAAAATACTGAAAACCCTCAAAACACGATTTTTGGAGTCTTAACCCCACTTTTTTTAAAATCCTGACCTGATGGGCAATTTTAGGATCCAGGATCTTGTTCAGTGGACAAAACTACATTAGAGACAATTCCGATATCAAAAATAACGAAAAAAATTTATTTGGAGTCTGTAACCCTACTTTTTTCAAAATCCTTGGTTTTTTGTGTTTTGCATTGATTCTTAAAATTTACGTTTTAAGCTTTAATTTAAAACCTTGTCGAAATCTTTAGCACGCCAGATTAAAGAGAAAAAAAATGTTGTAAACCCCCAAAAACACTTTTTTCGGCTCTTTACTCTTACTTTTCTCAATATCCTGAAATGAAGGGCAATTTTAGGACCCGGGATCGTGTTTAGTAGACAAAACAACATAAGAAACTAATTTTGCAAGCCTGTGTACCTAACCGGGAAAAAAATATATATTAGCCTGGAAAACCGGGAATTAGCCTAGAATTTTTTTTGTAACTTTTAGTGGCCACCCTGTAAATAGGCGTAAATTAAAAATATCTGTATAAAATTACTTTTTTCGACTTTTAGCTATAGCTAAGTTAAGTACCAATAATATTCATACAAATAATACATCCTCATTAAGGTAAATAACGTTCTTTACAAATTATATCTATTACATATTCGATGTACGTTAAAAGAGCACATTTACCATTTAAAATCAGTGCTGAAAGTGCTCTTTTAAGGTCCGAAGCCCCATTTTCAAAATGGTACCCAAAATATTTTTTTTTTATAAACTAGTATAATTTACCGACTGGTCGTAAGTCATAGGTCTGCATTAATAATAATTTCCCGACGTGTGGTAAAGTTGGAATCTGCAATTGGTAACTTACCGACTGAACAAAGTTGCCGATCTATTTAGCAGAGATTAGAACCGTTGTAAAGAACTCTCACAGTCCGACTACTAGCATTAGGTTCTTAATCAGCGACTCTGAAAACCCCTATAGATACCAAGTTTTATAAAAATTCATCAAATTAAAAAATTTCGGAGTGTCGTATTGGATCTGACATTTTGAATATCTGACATGAGATTCTAAAACAGCTACCCGGTAAACCCCCAGATGTCGTTTGGAATTTTAATATTTTTTTCCATTGAATATGGGATTATTATTGTTTTATGGTACAGTGTATGTATCACTGGACGTTAAGATTACTATTTATTCAAAATAATAACTCTAATATATTTACACTCTAAATAATAATACAATTCTAATAACGATTTTATATCAAAGGTATTACTTTAAGACTTCAGGGGGGAGTGACACCTTTGCAACACAATTTCAACCTTTTTCAAGAATTTTTTTTTACATAGAAGGAATAAAGGAAACATTAATCGGTTTAAAGTGATTAATTTATTGTACCTTTAAATTGTAAAAATTTTTTTATATAATATTACACTTCGTATAATCTCATGTAGAGGGAGTAACTGGTGACCACATTCTCGAGTAGCAAATCGGCGTGCAAGTTTTCTGTCAGACGGTGTGAGCTAGAACCAAAATTAATATATTTTCTTAATCTAGGATACATGTAGCTGTCGAGTACGTAGGATTTTATTTTAATTTTTTGTAGATATGACACCACATTGAACAAAAAAGTCAAGATTTCAGGGTTAAATTTTTCCACAAAATTCCACACATTAAGAAAATATTTCGATTTTGCTTCTAGCAGAAACCGTTTTGCAAAAAACTTGCACGCCGATTTGCTACCGTAGAATGTGATCATCTGTTGCTCCCTCTACATGAGATTATATAAAGTGTAATATTATATTAAAAACCAATTTTGCAAGTTAAAAGTACAATTAATCAATCCCTTTAAAACGATTCCTGTTTACTTTATTCCTTCTATGTAAAAAAATTCATAAAAAGCAGATAAAAATTGTGCTGCAAAGGTTGACACCTTTGCAGCACAATTTTTATCTGCTTTTTATGAATTTTTTCCCCCTTAAGCCAACGATTCCTAATTTTGAAAACTATGGTTATATTCTTAATCAGTGACTCCAATACCTCCGGGTTTTAAGAATATCCAACAATTTTTAAAAATTTAGTCCATTTATTTATAATACTGTTTAAAAAAGTAAAATATTTTAAAGGAATTATATATGAAAATATTTTTAAAAAATAGGTCGTCTTTTTTAAACAGTGGTGTATTAATAGTATATTAAATTGCTTTTATTTATTTAGTATATGCTTCTTGATAAAATAACTCTTCATATATTAGAAATAAATATTAAAATTTATTTAATAGTGTTTATCTGCTTTTTATGAATGTTTTCCCCCTTAAGCCAACGATTCCTAATTTTGAAAACTATGGTTATATTCTTAATCAGTGACTCCAATACCTCCGGGTTTTAAGAATATCCAACAATTTTTGAAAATTTAGTTCATTTATTTATAATACTGTTTAAAAAAGTAAAATATTTTGAAGGAATTATATATGAAAATATTTTTAAAAAATAGGTCGTCTTTTTTAAACAGTGGTGTATTAATAGTATATTAAATTGCTTTTATTTATTTAGTATATGCTTCTTGATAAAATAACTCTTCATATATTAGAAATAAATATTAAAATTTATTTAATAGTGTTTACATGTTAAAACATATAATTATTAAGTTCATCATTTTCGTATATTTATAAATTTAAAGTTAATACCAAATCATAAATAAAATATTGTTTTTCAAACCTGAGATATGATAGCGATAGAAAAACGAAAAATTGAAAAGTTATTTTCGCAACTTAACGGCCACGTGCCAATTGGCCAGGAAATCCATTTGTAAAGTTTAAGTCCATATGACGACTCTTTTGTCCAAAAATTCTCTGTTTTTTTCATATTTGACAAAAGAACATCAATGCTCTCCAATATACTTAAATGCGCACACATACTTCACGAGACTTACATATTATTTCTCCATTTGAAAATGTACTTGAACACATTTTAATTATTCATTTAAAGCTACCCTTTTTCCGTATCATTTGCTCATGCATGCAATTTACATAAACGATATTATGTCCAAACGCAACATTAATTTATAAAATTATCGAAGAATAAAGAAACATAAGAACGAAAGATATATCTAGTTCGTTAAGAATATTTCAAATATAAAGGATAGGAAGAAAAATGTAAATAATTTACAATAAAATATATTTGTTTTTAAAACATTTTTAAACGCAAATGCAAAACACGTTAAAAATATAAAATACAGTTTAAAATTAATAGTACAGAAATTAAGAAATTAAATTCAAAACATTTTCTTTAAACTTATAAAAAAAAATTTCACATATTTTAAATAAATTTAAAAAAGATTAAAAACAATATTATGTTTAATATAATATAGCCACCTTTTATTACTCTAGTTTTAAGTATATTCAACCATGAATAGTCTCACTTTTTATTCTTTCTCTAGAAGTATTCGCATCACAGAGAAAAAGCTCATAGCAGTTTTCATAGCAGTTTTAAACATTTCAAGATTAATGTTGCAGAAATGTCCAGCAGTGAGATTCATCAAGTTTCTCCCACGTGTTTGAATGTGAAGAATATTTCTGCTTACTTTTGGTGAACATGAGTACCAAAAACAATGATATATAGCTTCAGTTGTTTTCTCAAATCGATATTGCAAATAATCGCCTATGTAACAATAAATAAATAAACTCATTACAACAATTGAAAAACCACAAATTGTTCTGCCAGCTGTAACTGTGTCTCCTTGTTGTAAATAAATCAATGTCAGCAATCCTGCAATTTTAAAAAGTCATTTTTAAATAGTACTGAACTGTATAATGTGAAAATTGTATTATTCCGATAAGAATTTGTGTGGCGTTTTAAAAAAGAATTCCTTAGTAATTCGATAGTAATTTGTGCGATTTTTATCCGCAAAAAAGAATACAAAATTGATAAAAATCATTCTCTACGAAAATTCGAATGGAATACTGACCACAATATCAACGGTAATTTTTTGTAAACTTCAAGTACGATTTTCGGATGTTTTTTAAAAGTAATTCTGCACTAAATTTTTAATAATTTTTTTTAAATTAAACCACTTTTGAGAACGAATTTTGTAAAATATTCTTGACAATTACTAAGGAAATTTTTCAAACTTTCTAATAAGAATTCGAAAGAAATTCCGTACATAAATTTGTTATTGCTAATTGAACCATTTTTTGTCCTATTCGTGAGAATGTAAAACAAATTTTTTTAGTAAATTTTTTAATATCCGCCAGGAATTAAGAAGAAATTATGGAAGTAACTTATGCAGTAAATTTTATTTCTATATAAAAAAGTAAAGTATGATTTCATTGTATACCCTTTCGGGTCTTTACAATCTCCTCAACATCACTACTAAACTTTCCTAACTCACAAACTCTTTGGGGTCCCTACTTTTGCGGCTGCAGCCGACTTATAGGTTATGAGAACTCGCATTCGCCTGGACATTTGGCCAGGGGAGAGGAAAACTGCAGAAAACCTACTTCCCGAGTACAACCGGTTTATTGACGTCGAGTCATGAATGTACATTTGGATAGCCATCACAAATGCACAAACATAGCCTCAGGCGTCAAACCTCCCGTTTGATATATCTCGATCAGCGAAAAAACCGAGACTGTAGCGATATTCACAGAGGGTCACCCATCCAAGCATTAACCGCGCTCAAATGGTGCTTAACCTCTGTGTTCGCAAGCCACGAGTTTCGCTGGGAATGCGAAGAAAATTATAAACATAATTTTTACTGCGATTTTTTCAAAAATAAACTCCTAATCACTATAAAGTTTTTACTGTAGTTCTACGAACTACTAACGAATTAAATAATAATTTTTATTCCGAGTAAGAAGAAAGAATTAAATAAAACTCAACATTTCATTTTTTTGACGTTTCGATGGACAGCTTAGCCATCATCATCAGGTCAATTTAATAAACAAATTGAAATATATAAATCACATAAAAATGGTTTAAGAAAAATTATACATCATTCTTTTCTTTATTGAAAAAATGATGAGAATATGTGTTTTTAAAAATATAATAATTAGTCTCAACCTTTAAAAAAAATAAAGAATTTTGGCCGATATAAGTATGATTCAATCTCCTAATTTTACTAAAATCAATTTTCTTATTCGTTTATACATTAAAAAATTATTATGAATCTGATTGGTCAATAGGGCGTGGCAAAGAGATAGGGCCAGACGCAGCGCACCGGTAGGAATAGTTCAGTGTTTTGATTAGTTGGATTATGATTCATCTACGTAATTGGTTGTGAATGTGTCTTGGAATATCGAAAGTAATGGGTCAAAGATCGGGTCGGAAACTTGGAAATGAGAATTGTGTACATTGGACTAAGGATTGGTTATGAAAATAATGATAATAGTGATTAGAAGAAATAAATGGAAAAAGAAAAACGTAATTCTTAAATGACCATCTGCATAGATAAATAGGTTAACGAAAGGTAAATTTCAAAGAGGTAGGTGTATTGTAATACTAATTAAATGTGTATGTGTATTCTTTGTAAAAGTATCCTTATACTTATGATTAATTTTTAATAGCTTTTTGAAAATTAGAAGCTAAATAATATCTTTTAAAAAAATTACTTTGACACAAAAAGTTCGTGACCCACAGGACAGCCCCCTATATTCTTACGTTTTTGGAGTCGATAAAACTGAACGTGATTATAAAAATGTTTTCCAATTACTGATCTTTGTATATCACGTTCATTAGCATAAATGTACTAAAATGGCCAGGTACTATTAAGATATCTTCAAGTATTTTTTGTAAAATCGACATTTTGGAATATGCGGACAATGAATTTCAGAAAGATGTCCTTAAAAAACCTGGATATCAGTTTAGTTATGTTTATCGTCTGCGTGTTTCTAAATGTCAATTTAGAAATAATTTTGTGGAGGAAGATGTTTAGAAAACATCTGGATATCAGGTTAAACAACTTTATAGTCTATGAAATATCAGTAAGTTTTTTGTTAAAAATTGTAATAAGTTAACTCTGCAAACATACCACCAAAGGGACATTTTGCCACAGCAACCGTTGCCATAGTATGTTAATGTTTACCATTGCAACTGTTGACATGGTAATGGTTACTATAGCAATCGTCTGTAGTTTTCCATAGCAACCGTTGTTGTGGAAACCAAAAAACGAAAGCTATGAATCAAAAAAACAGTTGCTGTAGTATGTGTAGTATGAGTAAACATTCTTAATTTGCGTGATAATTTAATTATTAAGTTATTATCTCTTTAAGGTTTTAGTATTTATATATACAAATTTTTGGAAATATCCTTGGGGTTTAAGGTTGGTTTTATTATTTATTTATTCTTTTTGTTATTTTAGTCCACGAACCCCAAAAATATCTCTCACTGATTTTTTAACTAAATGAAAAGTCGAGCTAGAAGATTTGACGCTTGCAACACTAACAAATTGCTATTTCGCGCTAAAAAGTTCATGACTCAATGTTGGGTCGTTAACAGTCTGGACTGTTAATAATCTTGGCTCTATTGAAAAGATGTTATTTGGACTCGTAATTGTAGACCTATATTCAGTAGCTTATAAGTCCGAAAATATTGAGTTTAGGAAAAAGTTGTCAAAGAATGAAAGTTTTAGTTTTCTTTCAATTTTTGAGAAATGTAAACAAAAAATTTTTTATTAAAAATTTTTTTTATAAACAAATTAATCGTAGACCTTTTAATTTAAAAAAAAGAACACTCAAATAGATTAAAAATTATGCGCTGTAGACAGTTTTACAAAGTTAATTGTAACAAAATCCCACTGAGATGCTTGCAAGTGATTTTTGAAAATGTTTTATAACTCATTTAACACATCAGGCCCATTTCAGGACTTTTTGGAGATAAAGGGTACATTATTGACCGCTCATAGGTCAACAAAGTACCCTTTATCTCCCTAGGGCAATAATGGTTACTTTATTGACCAGCTGGGTTATATGGGAGAACTTAGCATTCACCAGTACAGGTAGCATAGAGTAACCATAATACGCCTTTGTTGTATAAAGCAAAGTAATCTCAAAGTAATTTTAATTTTTCTAATATATTGTCATTACCATATATAAATAACTTACATAGAAATTGGTAACTTTTACACAAGGAGTCACAAAACTGTAGAACCCCCTCCCCCCTAAGCCTGTGAGGTAATATATGAATGATCCCTAAAGAGAGTTCGATGGGCTCTGCAATTTCTAGGTTATGTGCGACCTACACTTGTCGCCCTACAAAAACGTTACTGCCTAGTTGAAATAACGTGAAATTGGAAAACAATCATTTTCGAACAAGTTTTTCTCTACACACAAGCGCTTCTCGCAAAATCTGCATCCGAACCATCGACACAAATCTTCGTAGTTACCAAAATCCGAAAGATTTTTTTAATCCATGCAAAAACGCGATTGTAAAATGGAATATACAAAATCAACAAAAGTAATGTAATGACAGGCGGCAAAACGTGTGTCACAGCCATTTGCCATTAGAGGGCAGAAGCATACAGAAGAGCGTAAAGGCTCAGCTGTCAAAATTATTGGCATTACATTACTCTGTCCTTTCCCATTTTGCAATCGCATTTCTTCAAGGATTAAAAAAATATTTTAGATTTAGGTAATTAAGAATTGTGTCGATGGTTCGGATTCAGATTTTGCAAGAAGTGCTTGTGTGCAGAGAAAAACTTGTTCGAAAATGATTGTTTTCCAATTTCACGTCATTTAAACCAGACAGTGCCGTATTTGTTGGGTGATAGCTATTCGTCGAACATAATCTAAAAATTTCAGAGACCATAGAACACCGTTAATTATAATGATTAACAAATTTAAAGTTAGAGTAGTTTTCAAATCTATTAATGAATTTAAAAACAACCTACTAACATTACCTAAAGACCATTATCCTAATTTGAATAAATTTATAAATAAAATAAATCGTAAAAATTGCAAGTTCTGCTATGTAGGCATTTACACACGGCATTTAAAGACTAGAGTTTCTGTACACAAAATCCAACAATCCATTAAAAGTATATTAACATCGCTTTGTAAACATTCAACAGAATTAAAACATTGTTTTTATTTTTCTGCTAAAGAAGTGAAGCTTTTACACATTGAAAATTATTTAAGAGAACGCAAAGTCTTGGAAATGTATTACGTTTTAAAAGAACAAAATTCAATTAATCTTAAAACATATGTTGAAAATATAAGTTTCATTTATCTACAACTTATTCATATAAGCCGTCTTTTAAGTTATTTCGTTAACTATTTTTTAAGTTGTAGAGTGAAAAAGAAATAAAGCAAATTATCAAATATTCTCATTTTTGTCTCTTGAATTAAACTTTTTGAAAAATCTAGAAAAATTTAGATAAAATTTTTTTAAAAACACAGAAATCTTCGTAAAAATTTCAACTTTAAAATAAGCCTTCTAAAATTAAAAAATGTTAATCCGTTTTTGATATATCATAAAAAATGTGAAGCCGTGTTTCGACTGATTGGTGCATTGAAATTCAACTGTGACGACTCGATTCTAGCTGCGCGTGGCTGCGAATGAGCGAGAAAGCAGGGACGAATTCATGCGGTGGAACGATGAACTTCGAGTTTCTTTATATTACTTGTAAAAGTTCATTATTTATTAATCCCCAGCATAAATTCGTCCATGTTTCTCTCCCATTCCCAGCCACCCGCAGCTAAAATCGAGTCGTCACAGTTGAATTTCAATGCACCAATCGGTCGAAACACGGCTTTACATTTTATATGATATATCGAAGACGGATTAACATTTTTTAATTTTCAAAGGCTTATTTTAAAGCTGAAATTTTAGCGAAGAATTCTGTGTTTTAAAAAAAAATTTAATCTAAATTTTTGGAAAACGTTGAAGTCAAGAGAAAAAAATGAGGAAATTTGATAATTTTTTTTATTTCTTTCTCACTCTACAACTTAAAAAATAGTTAACGAAATAACTTTGGAGATGGCTTATTTTACGCAAAATTTAATTAGGTTTCTTACCGTATTTAAGTTTTTTTTGTATCTCCTTTTATTTGGTGGATTCCACATCAGTTCAACACACTTATTTTCATGACTTGTTGGGATTTGGCTGTACTTTTGTAAATTTATTACTTTTATAGTGATAAACAACTCCACTAAATATTTTTTCAAAATTTTGAAAATTACCAAAAATATGCAATTTCAAAATTTTTGTCTTTTTTTGAAAGTGCTGTAACTTTAGTTCTAATTAACCGATTTTGGATTTTGAAAAAAGAATTTCTTTGGTTTAAAGTATATTTCAAGTTTAAATTAATATAAAAAAAAAATTCAAAATTTTTTTTTTTAAATTTTGAAAAATTAAAAATCCGTTTTTGAAAAAACATTATCTTCGATTTTTTTCAAAATTTTACTAAATGTTATGACAAATGTGCTTTACATGTCCTGTAAATTTTATCTTGGGATCTCAAAGGGATTCGGAGTAAAAAAATAAAACGTAACTACAAATTACGAACATATGGGGCAAAATTCCTCAACTGCCCAGGTAAAAAAATGAATTTTTTCTAAACTTTCTAAATGTTACTATTATTAAAAAAGGTGTAAATATTAATTTTTTTAATTTGATAAATTTTTTTGCACAATGCGTAAAATAACATTTAGGAAAGAAGAAATAATTTGTATGATTGCTGTCTTTTTACTTACCTCGTATTTTCTAATTATATTATTATTCTAGTAAAATTCTTGATAAATCAATTATTAGAATATCGAAATACACACGGATCAATATAATTTTACATTACATTAAGTTAGCTGCATATATATTCGTCAACAAATGAATGAAGCTCATTTTTTAACTCATCTCAAATTCTTTTTTTTGTATCATTTTATTTTAATTTATCAGACAGTTTTTTTAAATTTCTTTTTGTAAAAATATGTTACAATCAAAATTTTATAAATTTAGAAATATTTTTTAAAATATATTAAAAAAATATATAAATATATGTACATTATTAGCATATTTGGTATTTTTTTAATAAAAATAAACGTTTTCGTCGATATTTTAAAAAGGGGAGCAGCTGGATTTTTTCGCAAACTTGCATTTGATTACTTTCGATGTCCTTAACAATATCCATCCATAATTTTAAGTCACCACTTTAATGAAACTTGAATTGGCTGAGGAGAGGTGTGGACGTGGAATCCACCATTTACGAGATATGATTGAAAAAGTGATGGCATGTTTTTTCATAGAGTCTTGTTGTAATTATCCTGACACTCGTGGACGGTAGTGTATACCTAACCTTTTATATGCCAACATTGTCTTTCAGTATCATTCAACTATGACTTTTATCTATGACATATTTTCTAACCTCGAAAAACACACATGTTGACAATGTGTATTTATTTTTAATTATTTAATATTATATATTTTATACAATACAAACATTTTTAAATTCTTTTTTAAAAAAAGGTTAATTATGAAGTTATTTATTTTAAATATCCCAGGTAATTTATTATTCATGCATTCTCTAATATTTAAATATTTTTTAATAATCTAAAACTTGATGAGAAATAATAGTTTAATCTTAGCACAAAAAATTATTTCCCGGGATATTACAAAAACAGTCGTACCGTACGAAGGAAAATTTTCAACCATCCACTCATCTAATTCGCGTTTAAGTCAATTGCGTGGCTGTGAAAGTCAGGGTCGAAAATGATTTTACCAAGTAAACTTTTACTGGGATAATGTCCTGACGGGTATAATTTTCACAATACAATTCTGATAAATGACAAATCTAACATTTGTTGGTATGATAGTAGTTGTTGGTATGATAATTCTTTGGAAAGTCAAGAAAGTTAAGAGAATATTCTATTAAATTTCAATTCTGTTATATTATTCTGTAAAATTAAGTTTAAATTGTATATTTTAAATTGAGCGTACATAAAAAATAGTTTTAGAGATTATAGTAACTGTTCATAATGTCCAACTGATTCTTATTAATTTCTTAACAGCTCATCGATTTTTCCTAATTTAAAATTGGGCAAATTATTGTGCATTACTGACAGCGTTGTTTGTTAATTTTAACCTTCAGAATATTTTGAGTTTTGCTATCCTGAAAATTCGTGATTCTATCATGACATTATACTCTTTACTTTTTCTATAGAAATATAGGTATACAAATTTTAATGTAAAACTTTCCTCTTAATAAGTAAATAAAAATTAAAAACCTATTTGTCACGGTGGTCAGGAAGAGATTTTAAATGAAGTGAAAATGTAGAGAAAATCTGTTTACATATATTTATTGTCTACATAACTACAAACAAGAATCACTTTAACTCACATCTTTATTAGATCATTTACAGTTTTTACAACATTTTAAAATTTTCAAAATGAGTGACTCAAACTGAAGAAATTAGTTAGCATATTTATATGATGAGCATGCGTAAATGAGGACCAATGAGATTTATATTTAAGTATAAGAGTTACTAATTTCAAAACAAAAGCATTTTGTTTACATTTTGACATAAAATGTATGACTATTTAAATGGTTTTAATATAATTCAAATGCAATTTACATAAAATACCTTTAAGACAGGTGAATTAACTAATTTCATAAAGTGAGGTGTAAATTATTATAAAAAGATGATAAGTTTGAATAGTATTAATAGTCACGATCAAAATAGAAATAAAATCTGTGCGCCATGTGGAAAAAAAATAATTTTTGGTAATGCAAAAGCAGAAAAATTTCAAATCACCACAAAACTATGTGAATTGTTAAAAAAATACATAAATAAAAGTTATTCTGTGAATGATGAACGTTTTCCGCTTAGTATATGTAGCACTTGTCAAACGACTCTTTATGAGCACGAAAAGGAAATAAAAATAAGATCATTGCCGATAATGCCAAATTATGAAGATTTGCGTTTGAATAATGTTACTCGACATCAAGAGCAAAATAGTAATAATATTTGTCAGTGTTATATATGTTTAACTGCAAGAACCAAATTTCATAAAAAGCCTTTAAAAGGTAAATAAATTCTTCTTATGTATATAATAATAATATTACAGAAAAACGGCGTTTGTAGATTTTATTGTAGGGTCTTTTTCATTTCTCAAAATTTAATGTAAATTTATTATCGACGTTTCACTATGATATATATCATAGTAAATAATAAATAATAATTAAATATACGATATAAATGATATTAAATAATTTTCCTTTAAATACTTTAAAAGGTCGAGGTAATAAGAAAATATCGATACAAATTGATGAAAGCAACGGTCTTCATAGTAAACTTAAACCGAAAGTAAATCCTGAAAATGTATTACAACCTATCGATACAAAGTCTGCACCCTGCAAGGAAGTTATTATTAATTTAATTGACAGATTGCCTGAAAAAGAGCAGGATCAAATTATTTCTAATGTTTTGCGGAAGAAAGCGAATAATAGAACATTTTCAGCAGAACATAAAGTAATTAAAAACGTTCAACTGGAACTTAGTAATGACAAAGGGAAGAAAATGCAAGTTTTACTGAATGGGGAAAAAAAAGATAAGCAAACTTTTTTTTCTGAAAAAAGTTTAGATAATTACTTTGTAGAAAATAATATGTCATCAAATCAAATGAGAAAACTGACCACTTTTGTTCGTTCACAAACTGGTAGAAAATCTGTGCCTACTAATTATCATTGCCATATAAGTGAAAAAATTAACTCGTTAAAAGAAATATATAAAAGTAGTGATACATTTGAATTTGAAACATCGAAGACAAAAGAAAAGAGACCAGTGATATGGGCCGATGCATCGGAATTAGTGGAAGCTGCAATTGAGTCACGAAATTTAATTGGACATTACAAACTTAAAGTTATGGCTGACGGAGGACAGGGATTTTTTAAAATATGTATCTTGATAATTCCTGAAAATTATAAATCAATAATTGATGCTGATTGTAGCAGTGAAGATGATAATTATGAGCCTAAGGAAAAAATATTTAAGTCTAAATGCGAAAAAGTTAACGTTAAATCAGAAGCAAAATTAACAAGTGTGAAAAAACTATTAATGCTGTGCATCGTCCCTGATATAAAAGAATCTTACGAAAATTTGAAGACACTATTTGAAATAACAGGTATTAATAAAATTCCATTTAAATTTGTAGCTGATTTTAAATTAATGCTCATAGTTAATGGGTTACAAACTGCATCTGCTACATATCCCTGCCCATATTGCTTCATCAAATTGAAAGAATCAAAAAAATCGTGTGCAGAAGATGATGTAATTGTTAGTGCAGAAGGCGATTTTGCAAAATTAAGAACCTATGGAGATATAAGAAAAGACTATGAGACTTTTGTCAAGTTAAAAAAAAATAAAAAGAAAGCTCCAGAGTCTTACAGCACTATTAATGAACCTCTCTTTTACGATGAAGAAGATGATAAGTTTGTAGTTGATAAATGCGTGGTTCCCGAATTGCATCTACTTCAAGGCTTTGTCAATCATTTATTTTTTGACGGGTTGGTTCCTCTTCTTACATCTAAAGTAGCATTTTTGTGGCCAGAAAAATTATCTCTTTCTTCTAAAAATTATCATGGAAGAGTGTTTGAAGGAAATGCTTGTCGCAGACTACTCAAGTCTGCTGATTTATTGGATGATAAAAATATCTATGAAAACGTTGGTCGGCTTCGCTTGCTTCCTTACATAAACGCATTTAAAGCGATGGACAAAGTAGTCTCGAGTTGTTTTTCGGTCAAAAAAATTGGAAAAGATTTAGATAAAAATATAAGGGAGTTTAAAACAATTTATGAAGCGACTGAATGCTCAACAACACTGAAAATTCACGTAATTTCAAAACACCTTCAAGATTGCCTTCGATTTCTTGATGGAGATGGATTAGGCATTTGGTCAGAACAAGCAGGTGAATCCATACACCGGGAATTTTTAGTTCATTGGAACAAATATAAAGTAAATTCGATAAATCATCCATCATATTCATCAATGTTGAAGAAAGCTGTCGTTTCATTCTCATCTATTCATGTATAACATCGATTTCGTTATTTAAATATATTTTATTATTTAAAACACCTTGCATGGTGTCAACTTTCAAGTTTTTTGAAAATTAAAATTTTAAAATGTTCTAAAACCTATAAATGATCTAATAAAGAGGCGAGTTAAAGTGATTCTTGTTTGTAGTTATGTAGACAATAAATATATGTAAACAGATTTTCTCTACATTTTCACTTCATTTAAAATCTCTTCCTGACCACCGTGTTGTGTCAATTATTATTATTATTAACTATAAATACCTGTTAAGCACATCATTATAATATCCATTGTAAATTGCACGAGCAAAATGTAGGTCAGACTCTCCTTTAAGTCATCAGCAAGTTCAATAAGTTCACAATGCCTATTAATAAGAACTCGTATTCTTCTGAAACTCTGTATATTATGAAATTCATTAAAATCTTCTTCTTTAACTTCTGAATGAACAATCAAATTATTTTCTTCCATCTCATATTTTTGTCCTTTGCTACCGAACTTATTAAAACGTAGACTTAATATTTGAGCTTGTCCGCAAACGTGCATAATCATAGCAAAAAAAAAATAATCAGTGCCAATGTTGCCATTTACAATGTATAATTGTTGAACAGCCTGAAGAACATAAATGCTCTGATATTCCAAAACTGACATATTCCTGAAGACGCATACCGTAGATAATGGCAAACCCTGTTCATCTTCTAAATTACTAGCCATTGGTGCAATTACGTACATCACGAGAGTAAAATAACTGAAAACCGCTTGAAATATAAAAACAATTCGACTAACTTTTGCATGATGTGTCATTATTACTATGGATTCTGGATTTTGTTCCGATAACCAATCGGCTTTAGCACTGTTACAATTTCTCATTAATTTTTTTTGATGAAATCGAAGTAAAATGGTTTTTATTGTTGCTATTACTGTTACTGTCCAGAATAGAAAGTGGTCAGCAGCTTGCCTTAGTTCGCCACAGTGGAAAGCAATACTAAATACAACTTCTGTACCTATCATCAAAACTGTTGAAACCTAAATAAAAAATTTAAAAATTGTTAGAAGTTGAAAAATTAATCGGGTAAATTCAATATCATACTTATTCAAAAAAGAAATCAAGAACATATCTAACCACCAATGAATGCAAAAACATACATACATACAAACAAAAGCTGTAAAAAATTTAAAAAAATCCTCCAGGGTTATGCACTTTAAGAAACACCTCCTTCAACATATGCATTTCAATTTTTTTTATTTTAAATGATTTTGTTGAAAATTACAGCGTACACCTTTTTCAGAGGCGTTTGAGGACATTGACATTCTTCGATATGAATTTTTTCAACGAATGAACCTCAGCCCCCTTAAATAATTAATAATTGTTGAAAAATTCTATCTATTTTAGAGACTAATGATTTAAAATCAGTCGGATTTTCTCGAAACATGTTACTCAAAAGGGTTTTTGCGGTTGATGAATACGAATCTGAAGACAGATTTCAAAAATACAAAATAGTTGATCCAATATGGCTGCTACTTATTTAAAATTGATAGGTTATGTTTGAAACTTATTACTAACTAGTTTTAAAGGTTGCTGAATACGAATCTGAAGTCAGAATCAAAAAATTCAAATTGACGGATATTAACATAGTGAACTAGTTGTTCAAAAAGCATGCGGTTTTGTTTGATACTTGTTACTTAGGAGGTTTTAAGGTTTTTTTATACAAATTGCTTAATTAGATTTGGATAATCAGTAATTGTGGATCTTATTGATAATGAATATGTCGCTAGTCTTTAAAGTCATCAAATTAAAAATTCAAGGAAGTATTGTTTATTGCTTTGCGTAAATAAATAAAAACAAAAAAATTAAATAAAAGTAAGAACAAAAGTAGTTGGTGAATAATATAGGACACAGTTGGTATCCTATTAATAATTTAGTGAAAAAATAATTAATGTTGAAAGAGCTTATATATTACAAGCATTACCAACATTACCATAACATTACCCTATTTTCATTGCTTCTAAGGTAGTAAATAAAATAATTGTGTTTTTTTATAAATGCATATTTCTCTTAAAAAAGTTTATTAACCCTAGAAGGAGTAACTGGGGTGTCTGGACACCCCAAGCAAAATTCAAAGTATTCCCATGGCTTAACCAATAATTTTTTTACGCTCAAAACCCGTTGGTAATTTAGTCTGAACCTCTATCTTTTGAAACCTGCATGCGCCGCCAAAAGTTTTGCTCTAGGAAGAACTCTATCTCCTGTTAAAATACGTCTGGGGTGTCTGGACACCCCAGTTACTCCCTAACGTTAGAAAAATTGTCAAGATAAGCAAATTCAAATTTTTTTAGAAAATCGTTTTTAATCAGTTAAAATCATCTGATAAAGTATAAATTAATAGGTTATGCATGAAAAAGTTGTATTTTATAAAAAAGAAACATTTTTATACAAAAATTATATTTTTATGAAAAATATAGACATTCTGTATTTGTAACAACCTATGAAATTTAAGTTAAGATTTATTAAAAATTTCTGTGCTCTCTCTACAGTCAGAAATTAAATTCTCATACAGAAAAATGTAGTATATGACAGTCAAATTTAAATTATAAATTCTATATTGTTAATTGTGGTACAAATGGTGAATGGCTTACACAAAGGAGTTTTTTGACGGAAGTATGAGAGCCTTTGGTAAATATAACTTAAGCTTTTTTGATGCCTTAAATATGTATCTTCACAAATAACAACAAATAAACTGTCCTCCAAATCATGAATCATTTTTACTACTTTAATGGACTAAAATAAAATTGTCTGGTTTTAAAAATAACTCCCAAATGTTTTGGCATAAGATGTTCTCAAAAACATTTAAAAACAAATGTAACAGAGCTGCGCACAATTACTTCTTTTATTGCTAAGATAGTACCAATTAGAGAGTCGGAATTGCCGGATCTCATATTGAAAAAAAAATTGCAATTGCTTGTGTAATATTTTGATTATGTAACTCTCTCATATATGTTCCTTTAACATATTTTGAAGTACAATAACGTCATGCCAAGTGTGCCCAGTGAGAAACTTTAAACGATCTTCTAAAATTGCGTATTCAAAGATTTTATAATGGAACCGGGCATCTGCTTTATTTCATAGCTGATTAATTAAATTTTTGAAATCATCAATTTCAATATCTGACTCTTCCTGAAATATTTCTTTGGCATATTCAAAACATTCCAAAAAGTATTCCAGGAAGGTTCACAGAAGTAGGTAAATGTCCTCAAATATTGAATATTCTCTAGGTAAGTTAAAGGAATATTCATGAGGAATATTTTATTAGCATACCCGAATTCAGGGTATAATAAAAACCTATATTTAACGAATATTCCGAATGAATACTTACAAAATCTGTTGATAAAACATTTAGCAAGTTTTTAAGAGATAAATTCATTGAATATTTATTGAGCATTTCCCTTTTTTAGAAAATATAATTTATCAAATATTATGGTATTAATCGGTTTTATATAAATTAGAGAAAATTCAGAATATAATCTTTTAAAAACTCGTAAGGAATTCTTAAAATTAATAATTTATATTAATTCTAATTTGAAACAGTGAAAAAATATGATACTTTTTAATTAATCCTTTTATGCGTAATTATAATATTCCTTAAATATATATTTTCAATATTTCCTGAATATTATTTAGGTATGTTAATAAAATATTCGTCATGAATATTCTTTGAACTTACCTACACAATATTCTATATTCCGTGATCCTTCCTGGAATATTTGTTGAAAGGTTCCGAATATGCGAGAGGAATATTCCTGTAAGGTTCTTGGAATCTTTTGTGCTTAAACAAATAATAAACTGAAAATTATAATGAAAACATAACCTCAAAACCTCTTTTTAAAAAAATTGTTTTTTTAAATGTACAAGTTGACTGTACAAGAATAAGGTTTTTTAATAGTTTTATTGAATTTATTTATTAGAAATTTTTTTAATCTCGCTTTTGCTTCCACTGGCAAGTGTTAAAAGTAGTTTCAGATATATCGTTCCTAGAAACCTTTTTTTTCCATCTCAGAACTTTTTTATAAGGTTAAATCAAAAATCCAGAGACAAAGGCATTTTTAATATAAACCACGGAGACTTTTTATATACTTTACAATGGGTTTCAACTAACTTCAAGGTAACTTTTATTTAAATTTGTCGTTACTGGAGGATATAATTTGGTAAAATCATATTAATATGGTTTAATGTTGTAGTTAAAACTAGCTGCAATAACTGTTTTCGACGTGTGATTAGTTATTTTTTAGTCATATATTTATTGGTATTTAGCCAATTTCATTGAAACTAAATTTTTTAACTTTTCATAATTACATAAAAAATAAAATTTTTAAGACAAGAAGATGATATTTGTAATTTCTTAAAATGCTTAAAGAAAAGCATTTCAATGACATTGTTTCCGAGATGCACCACGTGGAGGTAACCAATTTTGGGTGTTTTTGGCAAGTCTTTAGATTATTCTTCAAGATCTTAGTGAAACTAAAAAACTTTTCTAAAAAATTAAATTCCTTGTAAAACATTTTAATTTTAGTATTGTTAAATTGTCTTGGAGAATAATTTGTAAACATACTGAAAACGCCCATCGCATCTCATACTGTAAGAAATTCATATTAAATTACGATATTTGCCTTTTTACAATCTTTGCCTGCATTAAAACATGTTTCCCGTTCATAGCTCCCCAAACATATGTCACAGCACGACTTGAGTCTTGTTTTATAATAATTACATATGACAGAGTTATAAAATCATTATTTTTCTTCTATAAGAAGACCTCCACTCGTGTCACAAAAATCACCGTAAACAAATTGGGATGCCTTTATTACCATGTTACTTACGATATTTTTTATTCCTAATGCACAAAAGTGGCGATTTCAGATAGCAGACGACAGGGAGTAAAAGTCATTCACTTGTTCGACTTATATGAAAATGGCGGCCGTTTTCGCCCTTGGGCAAAAATAACGCATGGAATCAGCGGTTATGTTTGCACATGGGAGAAAATGGATGCCATTTTCATATGGTCGAACAAATGAGTGACTTTACTCCCTGTCGTCAGCTATCTAAAAGCGCCATTTTTGTGCATGTGGGATAAAAAAGTATTTTTTATATGTAAAAGTAATTAAATTTCTGTAAAAAATTTTATTATTGATGAGAATAATTAAATTATTGTGAAGTTTATAAAAACTTTGTAAATAAATAAATTCCTGTGAAATTTTTTATTATTCTGAAACTAATTAAATGTTTGCATATAATATTTTATTAAAATCTTTTTCAAATAATTAAACTCTTTTGTCTACGGACCTAATTTTGATTCAAATAGTTTACGTGTAATTTCTTTATAGTAACTAAGTTATATTACAAACCTTAATTGTAAAATTAGAGAAGTACTTCGTATTGCGTTACAGTCATCCTTGCGTATTTTCTGAATATGACTTGATCACATAATATGGTTTCTAATACAAAATTATGAGGATCTGAAAAAATAATAGCCGACAATAATTTTTTTAAGTGACAATTTTAATTTTTCTTTAATAAGTACATTATAATGTCTCTATTAAGAGGCTATACTACCCACGCGCACTGAGAAAAAAACGCTTTTTTAGTTTTTATCTTAGAAACTATTCAATAGATCAAAATAAAATATTGAGGCTTTATTATACATGTTTTGAGGTATAGAAAAAAAATTTTATTTATAACTTCTGATACAAAATAGGGCTTTAACTGATGATAAAAGGAAAATGAGTTTTTTTTAGAAGCGATCTGCGTACAACATAACATTCTCTGAACAGCACCAAGAGCAAAAAACTAAATTTGTCGTATATTTATATTACTTTTGCTAGCCATGTGTCGTATACAATTTTAATAATTGTAAGGAAAATTTAAAAAATAAGAAAAAAGTAAAAGATAGAAATTTTCTTTT